GGCAGGCCCCTCACAGGCCCCCCACCCCTGCACCCCGGCTCACCACTGGCCGCATTTGAGCTGGACAAACCTTTGTCCAAGCAGGCCTGCCCGTTCACTCATCCGTGCTTCTGTGATTAGGGGAAAGCAGCTCTGTTTATCTTGATTGCTAATCTGATTTGGTTCTGTTTGTCGTAACCGGTTCATTTATAATGGCAAAACGAAGGTTCCACTTTCCACCTCTGCATTTTCTCAGGCCCTTTGGAATTCCTTGGGACCCGCACAGGTTGTGCACACGCTGGCTCATGGCCCAGTGTCATGGACCCGACCTTGCCGGGGTCAGGGCTCCGTCCGTCACTGCTGTTTGTACGGGACACTGCTGATGGCTCCCTCCCAGCTCCTTTATCCCCGAGGGACAGTCACAGTCAGTGCTTCCTACCCTGCCGTCCCTGAGCTGTGTCAGCGTCAGTGCACCAAAAGCACCGGGGAAAGTGCACTGAAATATGGACCGGGCCCTGGCACCCCCACACCCAACTTGCTAGGTCTAGGGGAGCCCCGGGCCTTGGTTTGGGGACCACTGGTGTCTGGAACCCCCTCACTGTTTTCTTCTCAGTGGCTTTTCAAAGCGTGGGACTAGCTAATAAGCTCGGTGGGATCCAGGGCCTGACAGCTGGCCTTTGCCTCCTGTGTCTTAGGAAAAGGGGCCAGGCAGCCACCACCTGCTGTCGGCGTCCCGAGCGGCCCTGACCCGGCTGAACCAGCAGGCGCATCAGCTGGCTTTCGACTCGGTTTTCCTGCGCATCAAGCAGCAGCTGCTGCTCATCCCCAAGATGGAGGTGAGTTGCCCCCGCCCGCGGCGACCCTGCCTTGCCTCCTTCCCAGAGCGTCAGGAGGCCCAAGGCCCGAGGCCCCATTGCACAGTCGTAGCCCCTTGCTCCTCGCTGCTTAGCAAGAACTTCTTATCTTGGTTGCAGTTCCCGTGATGCTGTATCTCCAGGCTGTTTTGGGGGCTGTCACTGTGGTGTGATGGACCTCTGCCGTGGGGGCCGCATCCCTGTGCCTCAGGGAGATAAGGGAGGTCAGAGGCGCCCTTGTCTTGTAGATTGTTCTGGAACTTGACGCAGGAGAGTGGCTTCCCGGGCCTGAACTGGGGTTTCTGAGGGGTGTTCGCAGGGTCCTTCCGTGTCTGTCCTTGGTACCTTTTCCATTGGGCTTTTCCCAGAGCGGCTCCCTTCCTTCCCTGCCTCTCTTCTTTGTTCTGCTTGTCCCGATGCCTTTCCCAGGGCTTCCTGTCAGGCCTGCTGCTGCTGCTGGTTCTGCTCCCCTCGTCCAGGTCACGCCGCTTTCGGTTTGGCGTCTTGGGACTACACTCTGGGTCATCTCCCCTGTCAGCCCAAGTCTGTCTGCGTTCAGCTTTCTCTTTTTCCAAGATAGTCTTTTGGGAAAGACCCCATTATGGGCCTTCAATTACCAGGAGGCCCTTTTAGGAAGCAACGAAAAGGGGTTTGACTTTTGCATCAGCACACGTCCTTGGCTCTCTGCTGCCCCCCTGGAAGCACCCGGCTGTGAGCCGAGGGCCGGTCGCTGTTGGCTATGTGACCCCAGTGAGTCCCAGCCCGCCTCTGCAGCTGTTTCCATCCATAAAACGATGTGGCTGAACTATGTGCTGTCAGGGTTTTTCTACCCCTGGAATTCTGTGGTTTTCATTCTTTAAGATTTTTCCATGCAAAATGCTAGGAGATCGACTCACACCAGATTTGGCGTTTCTGGCATGGTCAGGGGAAGTAAGGCTGGAGCAGAGCCAGTGCTGTCACAGTGTGGCGGAAGTGACATGGATGACCCACAGCTGGGTGTGGTCTTGGGCCACTTGGCTAAGGCTGTTCCTTCTTCTGTGGCCTCATCTCCTCATCTTTGAAACGGGGACTGGGTGATTCGCACCAAACACACACGTGAGGATAAAGTCACCCGGTGCCTGAAAGCATTTAGCACATTGGCTGCCACAGAGTAGACACCTAACAAGGGGTGGTTTTCTTCCTTTCTGTCATTCTCAGTTTCTAAGAGGAATGGCAGCTTTTTAAAATAAGAGTGACTCATTTTCAGAAGCCAAGCCGTACAGGAAAGTACTAAGGGAGAAGCACTTGGCAGCCCCCCTCCCCCCCCATCCAGAAACGCAGTGTGGACTTTTATTTGGTGTCCGCCCACCTGGACTTCCCGTCATGCCCCCTCGCCTGGCCAGGGCTGGATGGAGGCTGGACGGACACCAACAGGTACACAGGCACAGGGAGAGTGGTGTGTACACCGCAGGCTGCTTTCAGGAACAAAGTGTTTACCGTGGACATTTCATTTTAATTTAACTAGAAAAAGAGGGAACATCCGTGAAACCAGAGGATGGTTGAACTTGAGGTCATAGTTTCTTCACCACAAAAGAAAGTGGTCCCAGCTCTCCCCAAGGTTAGACTGTTAGAGGTCGGCACCCTGGGCATCACTGACCACGTCCCCGTGTCGATGGCTGTGACTGACTCACCTGCTCCGACAGGTGAGGGCATCACCAGGCCTGCAGCTCAGCCTCCCTCCCCCCGCCTCCACACGTGTCTGCCTGTCTTATTTTTATGGTGTCACAGCTGGACACCTTGATCGTCTGACCTGGGACCATCCCTGTCCAGTCCTTCAGTCTTGGTTCTGCCTGGATGGGGGTACGGCTCCCACCTGCCCTCCCCTCCCGCTGTGCGCCCCCTGCCCGTTACTAGGTTCTTGGTGCCCGACTGCCCCGGGCCTGAGCACAGCTCTGGGGCGTGGGGACGGACAGGCAGCTCTGGAACTCCGGACCTCCCCGCCAGGAGGTGCCAGCCGGGGAAGCACCACAGAGACAAGTGCTGTGGGCCTTTAGGATTTGGGAGCGAAGCCCTGTTCATTAAATGCTGGTTTTTAATGTTTGCTTGTACATCACACGGCCCTCTTACATGACAGCATAAGCCCACACTCCGTTTCAAAATAGATTGTGGAAGTTTGCCTGTGTTACCTGGTAGGTAACCTCTGAAGGAAATTTTAAGTCAGTTTCGAACAACTGAAAATTGCTCTCCGCCCTCCGCCCTCTCCCCTCTCCCTCAGTTTGTTGAAGGTAAAGCCTTCTCTTCGCCTGGCGTTCGCTGTGCGTTCTCTTTCCGGCCTCTCACACCTCGTGTTTCCTGTGGCTGCTGCTCCTCTAACCCCCCCGAGCTCCTGCCCCTCTGGACGCTTGTATCTGCCGCTACGGCCCCTTGAAGTGGGAGCCTGTGTGTGTTCAGGGGAGCGCTGCGGGGGTCGGGTGGGAGTGTGCGGGGGTCCTGGAGAGCAGGGGCCAGTCTCCCTTGTCTGTCCTTCCTGCAAAGCGGAGCACGAGGCCCGGCACATTGTGGCACCTGGTGCCTGTGGGCGTTGGATGTTCCTTCTCAGTGAGGTGGGAGTTAACTGAAAAGAGTGGGCCGTTTTGAAACAAAAGCGGGTTCTCAAGCAAGAACACACATTTAGAAAATTGTAGGGCGGGGGTGGCAGAGAGAGGAGCTTGTCCAGAGCAAAGAACATTCGACAGAAGTGCGTTGTGCTGGGGAACGTGGAGAAGGCAGCGGCGGCTTAGCCCGGGCTGGAGTGGGGGTCGACGTGGTCATCACTTCCCAGGAACGCTGCTTACAGGGTCAGGCGACCAGATCGGGCATCAGGTGGCTGTGGAGAGCAGCTGCAGCGTGACCTCGGGTCACTCCAGGAGTCCAGCCACAAAGGGCCTTGTTTTCCAGGCTGGCTGTAGGGTGACTCAGGTTGGAATTAAACTGGACTTCTGTGTGAGATATGCCAGGCTGAGCGGCGTAAGCATGTGCTGCTGGTGAATCGCCTAATCCACAGTGAACGCCCAGAGGCCCGCACGGGGAAGCCGTAGACGTTCATTCCCACTTTAAACAACGGAAGAAGACATGGGTGCTGAGGGTCTCCCCAGACAGGGGAGAGGGGCTGCTGGTGGGGCTCGGAGGCCCCTGCCTCCCTTCTCCGCTGGCTGAGTGCTGCTCGGTTGAGAAGTAGCTGCAAAGCCAGGGTGCAGGAAAGCAGCCACCGCAGCTCAGCCAGGTGCTGCTGGGAGTGGTTTGCATCCTGCAGCCCGAAAGGGCTTCCCCAGCCTCCCTCCCATGATGCTGGGCTTTCACGTGGTCTCTTGTGGATTGGGGGCTCTTGGCCTCTTTGGGGTGCTGACAGCGCAGAGGGCTCCCACTGTGCATTCTGCTTTTTAGGAGACCTGGTTCCCACGGACAGTTCAGTGTAACAGTGGGCTCCTGTAGGGATGCCGAGACGGGGCTACCTGCTCCATGGCAGGCTTCAGGGCGATGCTTTAAAGATGAGAAGCCCCTGGTGTGCCAGCCCTGAGCGGACGGCCCTGTGGGAACGCCCTTGGCGTGGCGCTGTCCGGGGGCCTGGTGCTGACACTGACCTCATCCTCCTTCCTCCCTAGAGCTGGAGCACAGCTGGCATTGGAGAAACCCTGACGGACGACCTGCCCACCTTCAGCCTCACCCCCCTCGAATACATCAGCAACGTAAGAGCCCCCGTGTGCCCTCCGCTGCCCCAGCCTTTCAGGCCGCACCTCGTGCTTTGATTCTGGCCCTTCGGGCACAGTAGTCGTTACCCCATCAGTGCCGTCTGGACCTTTGCTCTTGGAAAGTCTCTGTCCACATCCAGGACTTTAGGAAATGCCGCTGATGTCCTGAAACCGGCGGGTGAAACACACTCTGACTTGAGAACCTCACGCGTCTCCCAGCTCTCCCCCCCCCCCCACAGTGCCTCCCCTTCTCCCCAGGGTGAGGTGTGGCCAGACCCGAGGCCATCACAGTGAGTCCAGCAGGAAGTTCTGACTTGGGCAGCCAGGACACAGGTGCCCAGACTCTCCTGTCTGATGTTTCTATGTTGTTCTGAGTTCAGATTCAGCAGACGTTTCGTGAGCACCTACTGTGTGCCAGGCCTGTGCTGCGTGCTCGCGTATTCATTCACAGTGGCAGATAAATCTCTTCCCAAGAATCGTGGTTACAGAGGCTTAGTGTTTGAAAAGAGCAGGATGAACCCTGCAGGGGAGCAGGGCACCGAGTCCCTTCCGCCTGCGTCCCCCCCCCCGGGCGTCGCTCAGGGCCTTTCCTTCCTTCCTCCTGCACCTGCTCCGAAGTGTCTGTGTGTCCCGTACAGCGACCTGTGCGGGGGCCGTGTACCCAGCCAGGTGCCTCACGCCATTGAGAGTTCTGGTCTCGGGGTGCTTTTCAGATGGGTGACTCCTGCCCAGTGCTCTTGCTCTAGTCTTCCCCCCGTAAGTTATGAGTCCATTGTGATAGACACAAGGCAACTGTAAAAGGAGTTTCTGTGCGGTCAGAAGTATGTGGTGGCATCGCTCTTTGTCCACCTGAGCAGCGTCAGGTCCAAAGTGGCTGTCGTTCTCCTTCCGTTTTCCAGGGCATCACTGTTTCCTGTTCTGATGAAACTGTTGGTCTGTGCGACCAATGGGAACCATCTCATTTTTAGAATCGAGACAATGTGCATCACAGTCGACATTAATTCAGGAAACGATGTTGCTGGAAGGGATGTGAGGTGATGAATCAACCTTAAAGGTGCAGAGCAGGAAGGGAGGTTAGGAGGCGCTTCTAGGCCGGGCCTCCCCTCAGCTGTGGCCCTCCTGCGTGGCAGACGCTGCACATGGGCAGGATAAACGTTTGTTGAGCACTCACTGTGCAAGGACAGCGCCAGCCGAGGGCCGGTGAGGGAGACAGTGCACGGTCAGACAACGTCCTGTCGATGACAGATCCACTGCTGGCTGGTGTCATCGGCAGCACAGGCTCTGGGGGTCAGCAGTGGGGTGGGAAGGCCGTGGACCCAGCGCAGCTCAGTCAGGACACCAGACTCTCTGGGTGTGTGACACGGGATTAGTTTCATCCTCACTGCAGCCCTTGGAAGTAAGAATGAGGTCATCCTTTTTGCAAAGATGCTGAATCCAAGGTCCTGAAAGGTGAAGCTGCCCCGGGTCATCAGTGGGAGAGAGAGCCGGGACTCAGGCCCACATCCATCTCACCACAGAGCTTTCCGTTTTTTTCTGAGTCACTGAGTCCCAAACCGCAGATCAGGAGTATTTATTGACTGCCTAAGAAGAGTGAGCAGATATCCACAGGGGCCATGGTGAGCGTCCCTTTCCACACTGACTTCCAAAAGATGAACACAGACCCATGGACTCTGTTCCAGGAGCCACAGCAAGGCCCCCAGGCCCAGGCCGCGTGCTCGTGTGGACGTCAGGCTGCTTAGATCTGGCACCTAAATGCGCTTTGTCGTGTCCGCGCATGCTGTCCCCCCACCGTTACAAAGGGACGAAATGGGAGAAGAGGTTGTGAAAAGTTATAATAAAACCACACACAGACGCAAGGTGTCATGTCAGGTAAAACTGAGCCTGTGGGTTTAGCCTAAAGGCCATGGCTACTGATGAAAGGGACCAAGCACAGGAATGTGCCTGGGGTCTGCACATAGTGGGGGTGCAGGAAGCACTGAGTGGGACCGGAAGGGAGAATCCCAGCCCCAGATTCAGCACCCTTCCCTTCCTCCAGCCTTGTGGGAAAATGAGGAATTTGTTGCCATTTTCAAGCTAAAATGTATAGTGGTTGTTATGAGTGAGGCGAGTGGCCACTTGCCTAGTTTGAGTGAAAGATTACACCAAGTCAATGAAAGGGGAGAATGCTGATTTAATTTATTTTACTGTCTGTACTTCTTTAAAGGGAGACTAAACCGCCACATTTTCGTTAGCACGATGGGCCCTAGGGCGTTTAGACTTATGAAGCCAGACCACGTGTAGTGCTTGGAGGCGGCTTTAACCATCGTGTAGTCCTCTGGGCTCAGTAGGTTCCAGAGTCTGTTAACTTCCAAATCCCACAGCCTCAGAGGGACCTGCTGCTGGACAGGCACGTGGGAAGCTAGGCTGAGTCCTGAGACTCCACTTGCAGAATCAGGATCAACTCTGAGTTGAGACAAATGTCTGGAATGAATATGGATCCAAAAAAAACAACAACAGGCTCCCAGACCTTTTAAACATATATATATATCATGTTGTCATTATGTGAAAATCAACCTTATTTTGAAACAAATTCTTACCTTAAAACATAAAACAATTATGAGTTGTAATAGAAATAGGTGTAAAATATACCCATGATGATAGTCACGTGGTATCTGACAAACACTGTATCATTTGTGGGCTGGTCCCCAAAGTCTTGGAACCCTACCTGCGATATTCCCCACCAGCCAAGGTTTCATCAGTCTATTTCATAGGATTTGTGTTATGAAAACAATACAGTTTCCCCTTCATATTAATTTCTAATCACAAATGGCTTCTTTCCCAACAAAATTCCTTCCTTTGTCCGGTTAAATGACCTGGAAGGCGAGACCCGCACCCAAGCCCAGAAGACAGGGCGGAGCTCCTGCGTGGCCGTGCCCTGTGCACGTACGCGTCTTACTGGGCTTTCTTCTTTGAACGGTGATAACTTACGTTTACACAAGTGTAATGAATTCTACAAAGCATGTCAGTACCCGTCACCTCATTTGAGGTGGAGTTTGTGTGAGCGCGTTCCAAAAATATTGAGGCCGTTAGAAGGGTGACTGTGGGCTCTGCCTGCAAAGCACCACCGACTTTCTGAAGGTGCCGCCATAGCCGGGATGAGCACTGTGGAAAGATCAGACCGGGGCTGCCCCGGGCGTGGTGTCGTGTCTGTCTGTCATTTACCTTCACATGACTGTACTACCCGAGACTGCCTGTGGGCATCAGTGTCTGGCTGAAAGTGCCTTCCTCTGTTTCAGATCGGGCAGTATATCATGTCCCTCCCCCTGAACCTGGAGCCATTTGTGACTCAGGAGGACTCTGCCTTAGAGCTGGCCCTGCACGCAGGGAAGTTGCCGTTTCCGCCGGAGCAAGGTGAGGGGCCTGCAGGGCAGGGAGGGGCGGCCGCAGGTGTGAGCACCTTTCCCCTCGTCACACATGGTCCCCAGCGAAGGAAAACTCCAGCCGTAAAGTAGAATGGTAGCAATGGTCAAAAAATCACAACCCCAATGAGAAGCCAAAGTGGCTTCTCTCTCAGTGCTTCATGATGAAGGTTTCCACCATGTAGAACGTTGGAAAGACCCCACAGCGCACGCCCATGGGTAGTCGGGGATTTCGAGCATTGAGACCATGCAGGTTGTAAGGACCAGATGGTGAACGGCCAGTAGGTACTTTCTGACAAGACAAATGGCTTTTTCTAAACAGTGTGAGAGGTAGAAGGAAAATTTAAAAGTCTGTGAGCCTTTTTCCCACGAGGAACTTAAACTTGGGGAATTTTGAGGGCTGTCTGGCCGGGTCACACTGCACATGGGTGCAAAGTGGGACTCGTGCAGGACAGCGCTGTCTGGGCCCTGCAGGCCCCCTGTCAAGCCAGTCACCCTGTGTGGGCCGCAGGGGGTGGGAGGTCTCTCAGAGGCTTGGCCGCTGCCCTGGACTTGACTTTGGGGTGAAGGTGAACGTGCCGCCCATGGGGTGCTGGACCTCTGGAGCCCCCCACCGTCCAGGCTCAGATTGCAGTCTGGGGTTTCAGGCTCCGGGCAGGTGCTTGGATGGGCTGCCGCTGTGCATGTGGCCCCTTGGCAAGAGCCAGCGCTGTGGGGAGTGTGGCTCCAGATGGGCCCCCTTGAAAGCGGCGTGACCAGATCATTCCAGAATCAGCTGCCAAAGCTTCAGTGCTGCCAACCCCAGCTCCCCACATGCCTGGCTTTTATATCATCGTCGGTCTTGCTTTTCTCGCCTGCCTTTTGTCCATTTCCTGGTTCTTGTCCTCACTTTCTGACTGATGAGTGCTGCCTGCTTGAAAACCTCGATGCCCCTGGAACCTGGGGGACAAAATCCAAACCCTTCTCAGGCTGCCCAGCAAGTGCTGGCAGCCGCCGTCCTCGCCTGCTGGGTTCCTGGTGGTCGTGGTGGCCGTGGTAGCGTTTTGCTTACCTTCTCTTATGTGGGTCGTTTGTCACTGCTTGTTCACGTGCTTTTTGTCATTTCTGCCCCCCTTTCCTGCATCGGGGGTCTCCCTTCCCCGTGGAGGCCAGTCAATCTTTCCTGCCTGGACGGCTGCCCTCTCCTGCTACTGCCCCACAGCCTGACTGTCTGTCCCTGTGTGGGCTGTTACCTTGTAGCCGCTGCCTGCTTCCTGCTCTCTGGGTCCACAGGATTCTCGGGTCCCTCCGTGACCAACCTGTCCCCACTGTGTCCCGCTGTTCCCTCCCCGGGATCACACTGACAGCGACACCTGCTGTGTATGTAGCACTGAGTGTGTGGCGGCCGTGCCGAGGGCCTCACGTGACCCCACAGCAGGCTGTACAGCCAGGACTGTTATCTCCATTTCACCCACGAGAAACAGTGTCGGACAGGCCAGGTTGCACCCAGCCTGTTAGCAGTGGGGTCGGCTTTGACCCGGGCCTC